AACATATATATAAATATGCATACTCATTCAACTTATTTGGTTATTTACAACATGTACGTGCGCTTACGCGTATGCAAAGTATAAATTCGAAATATGTCTCAACCAATAACTTGAAAAATACTTAACGAAGTTGAGCCTTATATCATAATAAAAACGTCAACTATAATAATATGCAATAAAAAGTAGAGGGTTCCATTTAAAAAAAAATTAAGTTTACCTTGACATGATCTTGATAAAGCCGTCAAAAATCAAATAGATATTATTGTTCAATGTGTCTTTGTAAACCTTACAACTTTTTTTGTAAATTTTCTTATGAAAATTGCATTTTTTACGAGATATTCGACTGTATCTAAACTTTTACTCCATCTCGTGTGTATATGTGTATATGTATACATATTTACACTGTCTGCTTTTTCCAATGATTATAATCAGCTAAAAATTTAATCTATAATTATTGAATATTACTACTGACTCACATCTCATTCAAAAGGGAAAAAAAATCTACTACTATGTATGACTCACAAAGGGCACTAATTTGTTAAGTACGCATGTTCACGCTTGGCTTTTAGGTGATTAATCCCAAAGGCACTAACACGGAAGCGGATGATAAAAAAGTAAGTGAAACGCATGTACGTTATGTATTGCCTGATAATACATAATAAAAATTAAATTAATATTATTAACCTTGGATAATAAATATATTAATACATCACTTTTTGAATATAATTATATACTACCTAAAGTAATAGATCGTATTTGATAAAATCTATCTTGATACATAATAGGTCCGTGAAGAACCTGAACCTGATCGAAATATCGAAAAAGTACGAGAATTCTTTAAAAAGCTCGCTGGTGATGATATGGAAGTGGATTGGATGGAACTCAAAGAAATCTTGGATTTTGCAATGAGGAAAGGTAAATCAATAGATAAGTTACCTTTATGGCAACTACATCTTATAAATAAGAGAAGAAAAAAGCCTAAAATAATATTAATATTTTAATAATTTGATTCTCTGCAAAAATTTAATTATGAATTTATAAATTCTCTGAATAGTTATATCAGGTTTTACTTCATCACAGCGTTTCTTTTTTTCATGCTTATCTTTCTGCTTCCCTTAACTTTGTTTCCCTATATTTCTATTCCCTTATACTTTGTATGCTTGGGTATTTAATGTTTTCGTATGACTTGTGTAATTACTGACCGTAATAATATTCATATCTAGCTATAGTTATTACCATTCAGATTTTGTCACAATTTCCTCATATAAGAAACAATAACATTATATTAAATTGATAATTTAATTTGATGCTTTTGTTTTTTTCTTTGACTCACAATTTTTGGTTCGTTCTATTATTTTTCCATATAAGTCATTGCACAAAGGATATATGAATTAAATAACATGATCTTGTTTGTTTTCTTTAATGTTTTCTTTAATGTTTTCTTTAATGTGCACGGCTGTGTTTCTTGGATTTTCATGTCTGCGACACATAAATACAATTGGGTCACCACGTAAGAATTAAGTTTCTTATTATTTTTAAGTTCACAATATGATTATAAAAGATATTGATTTGTCATTATATAAAAAAGTGCAATTAATCGCCCAATATGTGGTAATACATTTGAATTTAGAAATCGTCCAACTAAAATCTTATTTTGGTTGTATCAGTTTAACAGCAAAAAGTGATTAAAGCAACAAAAACAACATGGGTACCACTAATCCAATTATTTGTTTTATCTAATAGATATCTGTTTGACCCAAGTGTATATATGCAAACATTAATGTTAACATATAGCTGTATGTTACGGGTAGAGTTACCACAGTCGACGCGTCGTAGCGAGGCACATGAACCTGAATCAGTGCAAGGAAATGGTTCTTTTATCGACACTGTCATCTCACTGCTGTGCGGCATTGTTTGTAATAATGAACAATACAATAAATCTGTAGGTAAGGGATTACTATTGATAAAATACAATTGTGGTGTAACACAACGATGTATATGGACAATTCTATGAAGAATTGAAATCCATTGAAGAGAGAATAATTATATAAGATATGAATATATAAAATGTATACGGTTACGACGCTACGATAAGAATGCATGATAATTATATAGCATACTGCAAGACATGCGAAATTAACAAATTGATTAAAAATATTTATATTAGAAAGCAATTTGTATAAATGCTATTGTATAGTCGCATCATCATTTGTGTAGTTAATGTTTTTTCATAATATTGCTAATTGTGTTTATGTTATGTCTTTATAAAGTAACTACATTTTAACAAGGAATAATGTTTACAGATACGCAAGATAGAGGATTTACTAAGGATGTATGTCGGAGTATGGTAGCTATGTTAGATGTAGATCATTCTGGAAAGCTTGGATTTGAAGAATTCAGAACCTTGTGGAATGACATTAGAAAATGGAGGGTAAACTTATTGTTTAGTTCTAAGAAAAATTCTATCCATCATTTGTCATGCTTTCTGAAACATCATTGCTATTCTATCCGTTTAGGCTGTTTTCAAACTATATGATAAAGATGAGTCTGGATATTTAAATGCGTTTGAATTACGACAAGCTTTGAATAGTGCAGGATACAGGCTCAATAATCACATTTTAAATATTTTGGTACATCGCTATGGAACTAAGGATGGAAAGATAATGTTTGATGATTACATAATGTGTGCTGTACGATTGAAAACAATGATTGGTAATTATTATTTTTTGAATGTGATATTTTATAATGAAGAGAAATAAAAAAAGTAAATAATATCTTTTTTCCATAGACATGTTCAGAGAGAGAGATCCTGATCAAACTAATTCAGCTACATTCACGATGGAAGAATGGATAGAGAAAACATTATATTCTTAAAATATTGTGCCTTATTATTGCAAATTCATTTTTCCAGATATTTACGTGCCTATTTAAGATTTGCAGATAAGTTAATAATTTAAAATTATTCCTCGTTGTTGTTTTTTCTATTATTATATAAAAATATTAAACTAATTGGCATATATATATACTTAAATATTATATTATGAAAGTATCAATATGAGCTTTAATTGCCTATAAAAAATTTTAAATATTAATGTTAATACATATTAAAAAATCATTTTAATGTAGGCAATGCAGTTTTTCTGATTGAGATGCCAATATAAATTTTTAAAGCTCATATATTTTTAAAGCCAAAGTATTAATGAAGTTCAAATTTTTACTCGTTGATAATGCCACTCTTCTGCATACCTGAATTTATAATTCTTCAGACATACAGGAATACATTCTAACAGAATTATATTAAATAACTATATCGTTAATAGAAGAAATTTTTTTTATTATTTGAAAAACTCTAGTTTGTTATATAATTAAATTTTTAAGAAATTCTATTTAAAGTGAAATAAAATAGATTTATAAAAAAACCCGTTATTGTTTTCTCTTCTATATTTTTTAATTTCACAAAAATTCAGCTTTAATTTTATAGCTAGGCAAATAAATTGTTAAAAATTTTCTTTCTGTTAACAGTTTTAAATTCAAATCTTTTGTCCGAACAGCGTCATCTGCAATTTATTTAAATATGACACAGACATTCATTTCGTGTATCGTCTATATACTTCTTCACAAAAAGGTAATTACGTATTTACATTTGAAATGTCCAATACATTTTATAACATTCGTTACAAAAATTTCTAATATAGGAAAAATCTAATACCGTACTAATCAGAAAGTTGTACAAAATTTGTACAACTTTGATAAATATTGTTTCGATTTTTTAGATAATTTTTTATCGATTTAGTTTCACTTTCCGAATCGATTCGCTTGAAGAAAGAAAGTAAAAGCTTTTTATAAATAATTTTTTCGTCTCGGGTTGTGGTGTCATTAAGCGAAAGATCGCTTCGACGAAGCGCTTATCGCGTTTCGCTGTGCGACGATGATGACGATGACGACGACGATGCGGTAGTTGCACGGTTCGATGCACCGGTGCTTTACACTACTTCATTCACCAGCACGAGGTACCACTTTAAGAAAGGAAGACTAGAATCGCATGACAATTTTCTTATAGAATGAATTTTTATGAATGTAAAGCAACGTTTCTCATACTCTAGAGAAATATTGCTTCATTTTCTATAATAGCATTTTTGCTTTGTCTTCTACATAAATTGTTGAATTAAACTTATCAAAACTAATAAGCCTCTTTGGTGATTTCAATAATGAAATTATAAAAAAGGATACATAGGTTTTTATATAATTTGGATTTTAGAGAATTTATAATTTTATTATTATAAAAATTTGTTATATTGTATTATATAAATCAAGACTACTAATCCTTTGGATGATTTCAAAAATAAAATTATAGGAAAGGATGCGTAAATCTTTATATAATTTGGATTTTAGAAAATCTATTATTTTATTATTATAAAACTGTTACATTATGTTATAAAAGGCAAGACTAATAAATCTTTTGATAACTTTAACAATGAAATTATAAGAAATAATAGATACATTTTTACAATTTGGATTTTAAAATTTATTATTACCATTATTAACGGAAAATGTGTAATATATATATATATATATATATATATATATATATATATATATATATATATTTTATATAATTTACGTTTTTTATTCTTTTGCGAAGGGTTCTTCCAATGTTTTTCTCTCCCTCTCTCTTTCTGTATGTCATATATATATATGACAATATTCTTTCCATGGGATATGGAAAGAATATTGAAATTTCTTCATTATTCATTGTTTAACTCGCTCATACAAATGTGTATTTTTAATTTATCCTTAAAGTGTTAGTATGGAAGTTATGTGTGTATATATATATATGACTTTTACAGAAAGAGAGAGGGAGAGAAAAACATTGGAAGAACCCTTCGCAAAAGAATAAAAAACGTAAATTCTTCGAGTGGCCACGTCGTGGCGCCTGGGAAAGGCGCGTTGCTTAGGTCTTATGTTAGACAAGACGCTTGGCTAGCGCGAAATAAAGGAAAATATAGAACAGATGGGCGGCCAAACTTGGCGTAGCGTGGCATAATGATAACACGCTCGAATAATAAGGATAGCGGGAGAGGATACAGGGTTGGATACGCACGCGTGCCTTCGCTGTTCGGGGCCTGTCTTCCGCTTCCACTCGAACGAGTGTGTACGTTCTGCTTCTAACTACGGACGTGGCTCAGTTTCAACTTGAACACCTTCGACGACGCTTCTCATTTCGAACACGAATACATTTACCTATTTCTTTTTAACACGAGACTTCTTAACGTTTCCTTTTTTTGTTTAATTAAGAGTCAACAAACAAAACATTGGTTCAACTTTAAGAGAACGCGCGAAAGATCATCGTTTTTAAACACAATACCTTTCAAAAATGTTTCGTGATTTCTTCGTTCGATGGCGGTAGTGTATCCAACGTGCTCCCCCGCAAAACCCTGAACTTGCTTATTCTCCAGTCAGATTCGTTTAAGGACGCAACTCCAAGACGAGTGAAAAACGTGCTTGTAGATTCAAATTGACGTTCTTTTCTTTATTTTTTTTCCCTCGTATATATCAGTATTATCGTCTTATTTAATACTATCTATATTATTGTTTCACGACAAGTTGAAAGAAAGAAATAATTGTCGTTTGATAAATTGATCGAAATGATTCGATAACGAAATACGTAGCTTTACACGATGCATAATCGATGAAGTCGAAGAGGCGCGCTTTCATCGTTCGAATGAAGATGAAATTCCCGCGCGTCGCTTCGACGATCCGTCGCTTAACGATCGTCCTCGCGATTACGATTGTCGTACGCGCACAACAACGATTTAAGGAAGTTCCAGCGATTTATCAGGAAGTCTCGGCTGGTCACGATGTGCAATTACCTTGTAAAGTGCAAGATAAAAAGGGACAATGTATTTGGCAAAAGGATCGGAAACCTGTCGGAATATATCCGGACAAATACGAGTGGTTAAGTCTACGTAGTAACGATTGCACTCTTCTTATCAGAAGAGCATCTCTCGAGTTCGACGATGGATTTTGGGAGTGTCAAGTAACTTCCGGTGATTTTATGAGACAAGATGCCTTGACATCATTGCCGGCACGTCTACTCGTTCGAGGTATTTGCTTTATTTCTTCGGTATTTTTCCTATTTTTTTTTCTTCTTTTGTTTCCTTTTTTTTTTTAGTATATGCCAATGTTCAATAACAAAGTTGTTCTGTTGTTTGAAAATTCTTTTATTTACACACATTTAAGTCTAACTGTTACTTCGAATATCAGAGATATCTTATAATATTATTTTTTCTCATCGATTACCTAATAGTTAAATGCATAACAATTAAAAAATTGTTTACTTCTTTTATTCGGAGATTTAAGCCTAACTATTAGTTCGAATATCAGAGGTTGTTCTATAGTATTATTTTTTTCACATCAATTGTCTGTGCACAATTAAAAAATCATCTACTTCTTTTAATCGAAGATTTAGATTTCCTTATTAAATTAAAATATCATAAATTGTTCTATGATATTATTTTTCTCTTCGATTGCACAACAATTGAAAGGATAACAATTAAAAGATTGTTCATTTTGAACTTGATAAGATTAAAATTTTTAAACGTAAGGTTAAACGAACGGTTTTAAATGCGCGCAAAATTCAAATTTATACGAAAGAAGTTGTTACGCTTCGATCGGAAGGTGTTACATTCACACACATACACACATAAATCGTGTTAATGTTGAAATAAACGTTTTCTAAACTCATTTAAAATTCGTTCGAGACGGACAAGTTCGTGGTTCCGTTCTACTTTTCTCCGTATCTCCTAAAGAATCACATGTAATTGGGAATTCTTGTTCGGCGAACGTTTAAATCCCTCAGAGTACGAAAGTACGTTTCCGTTGTGCCTAAATCAAAAAATACTTTTTAGAAACAACAGGGAGAGAATCTCAGTAAAAAAGAATATTCATCTTTTTTTAATCTAACTACAAGACTTTCTAAACCGTATCGGGTTATGTTTTATCAATAGATATTTATTTCCTTCCTAATGCACAAAGAAAATGATTGTTTCAGTGAAACCGAGGAAACCGAGTTTAGAATACGGGGGTACGATTTTAAATACCTCTCTAACGTTGAGAGAAGGACAGGAAGTAACGATTTCCTGCGTGTCTAGGTATGGAAATCCAGTAGCCCTTATAAAGTGGTGAGTAAATAATGCTTACGTTCATTCCCTTCATCTTTAATTTATTGACTTTTGTATAACATTGGGATAATGTAACGCGTTTTCATTCATTACTGTTCATTTTTAACAGATATTGAAAATTCTTCTTTTGTTTCATGTATTGTTCGTAGTTCGAAGCTACAAATCGATCGAAAAAAAAATTAGATTTGAATTATGATTTCGTTGTAATTAGTTCAATATTTTCAAATAGTACTTGTAACATTTTTTAACAGCATATTCTTATACGTAAATTTAGGATTTAATTTTCAAAACTCAACGATGACTGAACAATCGTAAGATAATCTCAATGTTAATGCTTTCCGAAGTATTGTAGTTAATCTTTTAAGTGTTTCTCGAGCATCTTTCGGGGGCCATTAGCGTGACCCTTGGATAAGTTTTACAAGATATAACATTTTCTTCCTATGACGAATGCATCAAAGATAAAAGATTGAGAAAAAGAAGAAGAAAGCTTTTAAAGAAAAAGAAAACACGACGTGCTAATAGCTAAACATACTTTTCTAATATCTACGGTGAATTAGAGGAGCTGCTTGTAAAATTTGTAATATAATATTATTTTAAGATATTTGCAATTAATATAATAAATCTACGTATTCTTACATAAAGAATATAAAAAGGTTGCGTTTATGGCACTCAATTTAAATAATAAATTGAAAGATAGAAAACGATGTACGATTTATTTTTTTTTTATTCAAGGAATACTTACGTTATATTTGTGTATGGTAATTTAAGGTAAAATCACGAAACGTTTTGTTTATGCGGAATAAAGCGATTCTAGAGAGTTCGTCTCTTTGGTTTCACGGTCTGACGCATTTAGTTGCATCTTATTGGTCGCTCAATATAGTACTAGAGAAATTGACATTCAGTTATATATATAAGATGTTTCATAATATATGAAAGTATTAAATATGCGAATAAAATTAAAAAAAAAAAAAATTACGAAGAAAGTTTAGATGGATATCGTGTATATCCTACATAATTTTGTCTTTGAATTTTCCAAGTGATTTATTCAATGATCACTATAACTAACATATAACAATCTATAGAAAAATTGTCATCTTTAATAATGATATTAACCGGAATTATTTGTAGTATTATTTTTTGTTTTTTTATATCATCTACGTACGTTTTCCATTGAAATTATTTCCATGTAGTATGAAACACTGTGTATGTATATAATTACGTAAACGATCTTTGTGCTTGAAAAAGAAAAAGAAAAAAAAAAAGAAAGCAAAGGAAAGAAAGAAATATTACGAGGATCATTTCACGGTACTGCTCGCTCGAAGTGGCAAAACGATTTAGCGACGATAAAACGAAAGACAAGAACGATGATTTCGAGTCCGGCAGAGAACAATTTTCTTCTCGTCCGAATCTTCATGAATTATTAAAAAGCGATCGTTTGTTGATGCAGGTTCATAGGAGACGAGGAAGTCGAGCCACTGAGAGAACAAATGAATGCCACCGAGGTGGATAATCCTAAAACTTGGGCTGCCCACAGTCTTTTACGCATTCGTGGCCGTCGAGAATATCACGGTCGAATGATTCGATGCATCACCATTCATCCATCTAGTCCAGTACCAGCTACCACTGAGTCCCAGCTGAACATTCATTGTATGTTCAAAATATATATATATATATATATTACATTCATTTATACATATATACATATATATATATATATATATATATATATATATATATATACGCAATCCAATATATTTCAAGTAATTCGAGTAACCGTTTTATTATTGAAAATAGTAAAATCGTGTTAATTTTAAAAATCGAATAATTATGTTCAACTTTAGTTTAATTTACTAAACTATTATACTAAGAGTCTATTAATAAGAGTTATATTAATTGATCCATATGATTTACTAATATTTTTAATGCTAAAACTATCGATCTATTTTCGTTACATCTGTCAATTTGACATATATTTGAAAAAAAAACTTTATTCGTTATTATTTTTAATTTATTTTATTTTACAATAATAAATATAACAAAATAGCTTTCAGTTAACATTATTCTAATAATAATGATCTCGGTCATTTGAAAAAAACGATATTTAAAATTGGATAGGTTTAATAGTGTTAATAATAGTTATGAATTGCAAAAAATGCTAAACATATAAAAATTTGTTTCTGGGTATACATCTTTATTTTTTCGTAACTTGATAGGTTTTAGAACACTTTACGTATTATTACATATCAATTTCTCTAAAAATAAAAACAATTGTTAAAATGACCAATTCTAAGCGCTTTATGGTCTATAATCATGCTTAATGACTTGTTTTTATTTTGTTTTATTATTTAAACGTTATAGATTCTCCAGAAGTGAGATTTCAAACGAGTCCACGTTGGATGACAAGCTCGCTTGAGGATTCGATAAGTTTTATGAACTTGAAATGCGTTGCGGATGCCAATCCAAGCGCGATGATCAAGTGGTTTAAAGATTCGACTCCTATAAGTAGCGAGAACGTTCTATTGCTGACGGAGAACAGAACTGAGAGTAACAGCACCTCGACGGTGTCTGAATTGAGATTCGAGCCGGTTAAGAGGGACGATGCCGGGCTCTACTCTTGCAAGGCGGTTAATATCATCGGTGAAAGCCCACCGGCTAATTATGCACTTGATGTTCAATGTTCGTACAACTTTGTTTTTTTTCACAGTTTCTTTGAAAGAAATAATTCATCTTTCACTTAGAATTTATTTTCATTATTTTATTATTTCGTATTATTTCCTTTTTACTATTTCATTTTACAATTTTATTTTATTTATTATAGATTTGTCAAATTAAATTTCGTACAAATAACAAACGAATAGTGTATCCAAAAGTATAATTGTGTATGTAACATGTATTAGATCCTGAATGTATCATAGATATTGTTTCGATTTATATAGATTTGAAACGGAAAGAATGACAAGAGGCCTATAAATAACTCGCAATTAGTTGTCGAAACAGTCACCTGACAAAAGATTCGATTCGATTTATAGCTTAAGGAAAAATTTTAATTGTTTTTTTATTTCTATCCTGTTGCATAATAATTATAAACATTGTATATATATATATATATATATATATATATATATATATATATATTGTTATATATTCGTTTGTTATTTGTACATATAATTGTAAAAACAAATTCTAATTGTACAACGTATAACTTCCAATGAAAGTTGAATAATTTTTCTGATAGCTTATTTATTGATCTATTATTGTATTGACCTCTTTAACTTTTCTACTACTTTCTTTTCCATACAGTCGCACCACGAGCAAAGAAAATGGAAGATTCTAACGATAATGAAACCCTGATGGAAATCGAAGAAACAGCACAGCTTGGCTCGAATGTGGAGACGTTCGAATGTCCGGAATTCGAGGGCAATCCAGTACCGCGCTATAAGTGGTTACACTTGCGTGGTGGCACCACCGAGAAGACTATTGAAAATCCAACTCGTGCTAAGGACTCTGGGAAGCGTTTACGTCTGGAAAATGTCATGTGGTCGGACGAAGGGGAATATCGTTGTGTAGCATTTAACATGATAAGTGGAACGAGAAGGGAAACACCTAGCGAAGTACGTTACGTGTTACACGTTACCGGACCTCCGGAGATACAAGCCAGACCGTCTGGTTCCGGTGAAAATGGGTCTTATGAGTCGATAGGATGGGCCGGTGAACCCGTACATCGACTAAAGTCTCGCTTTTGTTCACGACCACCACCTCGACTCGTTGCTTGGCAATGGGGGAGTTCTCATATTAGAGCAGGTATATATATTTTGAACTATATATAATAGATTATAGAAATATTTAATCTTACAATTGTTTAATTGCTTTCGAATTATTCGGCGGATAAAAAAAATTAAAATATTCAAACAAAACATATGATAAGTTTTATGGATTTTTTATGAAGTCAATTTAAAAAAGTTATTTCATTTAAAAAAAAAACGCTAGGATATGTCTTTGCTTCGCTATATGTATTTATTTATGTATATATTTATATATACAAGATTTCGATCATGCTTAAAACTTCCTTTTTATTTTTCAGGTGAAAGCATACAACCAAAATACGAAGCGTTGCCGTTGGAGCCGATAATTGAGGATAAAATGGTGACGAATTGTTATTGGGCTAAATTGGAGATCAAGAATCTACAAAAAGAAGACTCGCGCATGTATACTCTTCTGGTGGAGAGTGAGAAGGGTAGAGATTCGACGAATATCAAATTGATCATTCGCGATCCGTCGGAAATGAAAGTGATCGCTGCCGCTTCGGCCATTGGCTTGTTATTTCTACTTCTTTTGATATCGATAGGAATTTTTTCTTTGTTGAGAATGAAACAAAGACGATATAGATGTGAAGAGGATGAAGGTAGTATCGCAGCTGATGCTCTTTATGGTAATAATGTTTCGATGGATCGTCAGAAAACAACAAAAACGTTATCGACGAACAAAGGTTCTGCAAGTAAATCGACTCAGGACGGGAATTTGGCAGTTCTATACGATTACGATCAAATAGCGAAACAAGCTCGAGCTATGAGTCCAGAAGCTTGAAGGTGAGAAGAGCTCCGGCTGTGTTACAACCACCCACAATGGTGTAATCGATTGAGACATTCGTTTTTCGATTAAATTCTTCAATAAATACCTTATATATTGTAGTTATGATATTTTATTTTTAACAAAACAATGAGTATTTCAAATATAAAAGGTGTTTATCGAAGAATTGCAGTTATTTGTAATCGAGTTTTTATGTTTTTAAAAGAAAGACTTTATTAAGAAAAAGTTTTTAATATCAATGTACAAAGGAATATATTCGTACGAAGGAATATATCGTATATTTTTTGTAATCTATTGTCAAAAATAAAGTTTCCTTCTGGAAATTAATGAACATATGTTAAAATAAAGAGAAATTATTTTTCCTTCGATTTTTTCAATGTTCTGTAATTACAAATTTTCCTCCGCTAGATGGCGAGTTTATCAAGTATACCGGTAGAATATATGTATCATATGATGTATTTATATATCCACTGAAAGATACCTTTCAATGATATCAAAAGTACAATAACAATTTTTCCGTTAGATGGCCAGTCGATCACTAATGACAGAAGTGCATGGTAGAATTAATGTTCGAAGGGAATACCTTCGTGTGTTATTTAACTGTTTATTATAATATTTGAAAAATACAACATTGTTTAATAATAACATACAGTTTTTGTAAAGTGTGCGTAATTCTTTATTAAAAGTTATAAAGCTTTATTAAAACTAAAAGTAACGAATCATCGTAAAATATTTTCTACTCACATTCTAAACATAAACTATAACCTCAAAAATGAATGTGTGTTAAATATAATTGAAATAAGTATTTTATTTCGTAATATTTTAAATAGGAATATTTAATTTATGATGGAAAAGACCAAGGATTTTTTTCTTTCTGTAACAACGCGTGTTTTTAGTAACTGGACAGCATTGAGAGTACGCTATTGTTTGTATATTTTCATATCTAAACACAAAACTAATACTTATTGAAAATTTTATTTTAGCTAGCTGTCGAACATGGTATGGGATCCAGAGATAAAGCGGATATATTTTGTCACTATATTACCGACTTTATATATATCAACGGTTTGTTGGAATTTATATTCTACTGAGAAATATAAAATGTCCTTTTGTATATACAAATACCATAGATTGATATTGGTTTTTAGAAGGATTGTGCAGCAGTGAAATTGCGTGCGAACTAGAAGATTTCATGGATGAACAATTTAATACAGAACTTCAAGATTTAAGTTGTAAACAAGTAGCAGAAGAGTTATATAAATTTTATCGTTATTGTGTTGAGGGTAATGAAGCACAAGCTGTGATTGAGTTTGAAAAATTGCCGCCATTACAACCATGGATTGTATCATGTTTACCAAAGAAAATTAATAAGGAATCTATTGCATTTGAAAATAATAGTGGTTCTGAAAGTGATGAAATAGAAGAAAGTATGGAAACTGAAGATACAGAATGGACACAAGTAAAGCCAAGGCGGAAAAAATAATTTCCAATGATTCAAGACACTTGCATGATGCAAATCTTTATTAAAAAAGAAAAGAAAAAGATTTATTGTAGTATACTTTTATTATTTTTCTTGCATCAAAGTTTCTTATAGTCAATTTCTTATTTATTCAGTCTTTACAATAATTGGATCACTTAATTTTCACGCCCGCCTCCTGCATCTGTAAAGAAAATTAAATACTATATAATGTAATGGTATCGAATATAGAAACTTAATATTTTACTATTTCTGTTGATTAATACCTTCTGCTTTGTTTGGTAAATGGACAGTGTAATACCCATTATTTTCTTTTACATCGCATTCTTTTGGAGTATTATATGATGTTTTTGTTTCGTTAGGTCCCAATAAACTTAAAATAATGGGTAAAAATAACAATCCATGAAATAATCCGAATGCTACCACAGCAGTAAATAACTAAAATAATAAAAATTTTATAGTTTTTTTAAATACATATATTATACATGTATTTTATCTAATGTATGTAAATATTGAATCATACTTTGAAGAAGGCACTGAAGAGATATGCTTTACTAGAAGCTAGTAAAATAAACGCAAGAAAAGTACTAAAGCCTCCATTAAAAACAGGTGGCCCAATAATCTTCAATGTTGTAATAGCCCGTTCTGCAATTGAAACATATTTGGAGTATTCATAAAAAATACTCTTAGTAGATTGTTATATATGACGTGTATCACATATACCATCTTTAGAACCCTTTCTTCTTATAAATTCTAATCCAACATGTGAAGCATAATCTACTGCTAATCCAATACAAAGAAGAACAAGAATACTAGATGAAATTTCAACGATCAAGCCTAAAAAGTGCATAGAACCTAAAAGATCAATTAGTGTAAATATTACACAACTAATGACCCAAAATGACGCTACTAAATTTCTCAATAGAAGTATTGTTACTAATCCAATAGATACTATTGCTAAACTCAAGTTTCTGACTAATTCTTCTCCAATTATCTGTAAAATAATAATGTTGTTATTAAAATTGAAAGTTCCTCATATGAAAGATCATATTTCACTCACCTTGTTAGCTGTCCATGATATGTACTCCGGAGAATATATCACTACATGAGAATGATCCTGAGATAAATTAGTAACTTTTACTAATTCACTCATAGATTGCATTGCTTTTATTTGATCTAACGTTCTATTAACAAGTACATGCTGTATTGGAATTCTGGAGGTCTGAAACATCGAAAGTTTGTAATAAAATATATGTTAATCTTTATGAAAAATAAAAATATTTATATACCGTTATGTTGTAATCACCAATGGGTAATTTGTCAAATATAATATCTTTTATATATGCTTGACCTTCCGTAGTTAACAATAGATATTCCATAAGGAAACCATAGTATTCATCTTTACTCTCAATATCATGTCCTATGGGAAAAATGATAAAGAAATACATTTTACAAAACGTTTTACTAAAAAATATACTTTTCCACAATTTATATCTTTAGTACCTTTATTGGTATTATTTAACCACTTATCATATGCCACAAACCATGGATCCAAAGAATGATTGTTAATAAAAGAATTATTTTTTAAAGCATCGACCAATTGAAGTAAAGAATCATGATCTTCATAATAGTCTACGTCAGTCATATAAACGGCACCGTGTTTACCATATGCGGGAAAATGTTCCTTTAACTTTTCGTTAAAGCGTATCGGATAAGAGTCTTGATTTAAGTACAAGAGTGGGTCGAAGTCTTGCTTCAACTGAAATATACCCCAAATGTTGACGCATACGAGGCACACTGTGATAGCTATCACGGCGACTTTAACATATGTTTTCATTAGGAACGGTCCGATATAATTCTCGAAAATAATTTGTTGCAAATTTTTTTTGCTGCAGTCATTCGGTTTCCATTCGGATCTGGGCCGACAACAGCAGCCATCCCTTTTACCTTCAAGTCGTCTCTCATCATATACCAAGCAACTAACAAAAAAGGTCAATTCGAATATATATAGAAATAATATTCCCATAGTCGCAAACATACAAAATGATTTGAGAAATGGCATCATTGTCGTCATGCCAATTCCAAAAGCAACTAGATTCGTGAAAGATGTCACAGTAATGGACATGCCTATTAACAAAAAAACGTAAATTTATATCGCATTAAAACGAGAAAAAAACAATCTTTAGAAGTATTATCACCATTGACATACCTGCGTGTTGAACAACTTTGGCAATACGCAGAGGAATCTCTAAAGCTTTGTCGCTCTCAGTTTGCATCTGAAGACTATGCATTATAACAAACATGTCGTCAACACCAATACCAAGTAAAAGAAACGGTAATACACGATGTAACGGGCCGTAAAAATATCCTAAGTAATAGCATACTCCGTAAGAGGATATCAACGCTTGACCAACAACAGAAACACCCATAAGGGAAAGGTACAATCTTTGTTCGATTACATTGCATCTACCGATCATGGATAATACATAAATAGTGATCAATGATAATCCACAACATAGTATCGGCATATTGTTTATCATCACTTCATGTAAGACATCTTGAAAGCTCCTTGAGGAAACCGCATAAATCTCCATTCCCGAAGGTAGACTATGATTTCCATGGAGAACACGCTCAATAAATTGCAATTCCCATTCGGAAGAATGTGGATTTGATTTTTTCAGCATCCAATTCAATATTGTTGCTTTTGCAGACTTCACGTTATTCATTTCGTCATATTCGATATCCGATAACAGCGGTACGATATTATGCAGTATGTGGTTTCTAGATCTGAGCACATAACGATATATTTTTCTTTTCTTTTTTTAAACGCGCTAAATTCTGTAGTAGAGCCAAGGAAAATGTCAATGTCAATAAAAATGGAATATAAATATCTTTATCAATAATTTGTTCGCGCATTTATAAATAACTTTAATGAAGAATTCAACACAGAAAAATAGTAAAAAAATAGTTCATGTGAATATACATTTCAATCGTCTTTGTTATTCAATTGTAGCATGTGTTCTGTGTTCCTAGTCTTTCAAACTGTTAAATGATATTCTTCAAATCAAAAAGAATGAATGATTCTCTATGATGAAAGATAAATAATTGGTATCATAATAAGATGGATACATAAAGAATATGTCTATATTAACGTTATTACTATTTTTATGAGCTGAATTCATAATTTCTTGATTTTATGATCAGATTTCATGAAACAGCTTATATTCTTTAATTGTCACGCGTTTAATTCGTCAACATTTTTCGGCTCTCGTACGGAATTGGCCCAACAGTGTTATTAAGTATCTTCACGAATTCCATCCAATTTATATTGATATAAGTATGTATGCAAAATAGCACATTAACTCACTTATCTCTTATTGCCTTCGTGACATCTTTTAATATTTTTTCTTTCGTTAACGCTGATATATCCTCTCCTTGCCAGAGTTTTAAAAGAGATTGATATATACATCCATCCTTCAACATGGTGTTGTTCAAATTCTGCATAATCTCGTCGGAAAACTCGAAACTTTGTGTATCTTCAAGCAGCGAATTTTCATCTTCCTCGAACCACGTTAAAAAACTATAATGAAGATCGTGATGTTTCGTGTTAAATCAATGATCGATCAATCGATATCTAAACACGCAAACACTCACCTAGCGCATACATCCTTCCATGTATAATTGTTCACCACTATATTTTTCACTGTGTTCTCGATTTCACTGATCTACGATTGTAAAGTGTACATGTCATATGTATAATTAAATATGCCATCATGGAAGAAATATTATAGATCTTCTTTATATACCGATTGCAACACTTCCGGTTCCAAAATGTTCGGTGCAGTAATGATGATACTTTCGTATCTGAGATCATCCCTAAAATGTTTTTGGACCCAAATTGCATCTGCTCGTACTTCTGAATTCATTGGCACACAAAGTTCTAAATCGTCGACTTCTTCTTTCCAGAATATCATTCCAGGACAACATATGCAATTGATGATGAAGGACACGAGTAGCCAAATCCATGGTCTTTTTCCTATACTGAGGCCAATTCTGAAAGAAAAATTGTTTGAACAATTGATCTCTCGTATTATTTCGCAAATTAACCTTTTCTTTTTGAAATGAATAAAAGTTAAATTATAAGCACACACTAACATCGAAGTGTCGATGTAGCGAGTAGCGAAAGATTATGTGTACGTGTGTGCTTTAAGAATACGACGATTCATAGAACGACAAATTATCTTTAATTCGGTTAATTAAAATATGCTTGGACAATGAACTACGCTCTTTAAATTCAACGATCTATTCCTTATATCAATATAATTATAAGTTATGCATTAAAACACCAATCTCTCGGAAAAATTTATTCCTTCGTTGTCGAAGTCTTGTCAAATAATTGAAATTCATCGCAATTTACTCGTTAAAGCCTTCGTACATCTAAGTATCGTTACATTCAATCTCTTAGATTTAAACTCTTTAGACAGAATTATGTTTCGAAAAAATGTTCACCTATTTTATTGCTGATTATTTATTATTTATCGTATTAATGAGCGATTCTAATAAATGTACCATATTATGATTCAATAACAATATAACATATACAGAAGTTGATACGTATTCTCCGAAAATTGTTCGCGAAGAAAAACTTTTTCTATGTTAAATTCAGTAAAAAGCAACTTTATGGCTTGAGGCAGGAATAATATCTAAAACAAATACTAATATCGTTATAACATAAGATTGCGTCAAATTCCTGATAAATAAGGACATACATCATGCACGAAATCTATTTTGTTTTGACAAATTAAGGAAGAATTTAACAATCGATTAATCCAGGAATCTTTTCAACTCACCGATAAAATATTTGATCGGAGTTTAATTGGAAATTAAGAATCGATTCTTTCAAGCGTTTCCATATTACATTTACGGTCGAACTCTTTGAATCATTTTCCATAATGGCGTCCGATCGTTGGGGCTCGGTCACTCTTCGTGTCCAAATGTTGACTGAAGAACAACGCAAGTTCTAACGTGGCATACGAGCACGATGGCATGCATGTGACGAACGATGGAAGTAATCTACTACAATTATATAACTCGCGTTGGTCTCTCTTCTTCTTCTCTTTCTCTCGTTTCATTCCTATGGACGTTACTCTACCCCGAAGGGCATCGAGTAAGTAGGTGTAACGAGATATGTACGAGATTTGTTAAAGAGATCCATTTGTTTGCTTCCTTTTGTCTTTTATGCTTTTATCATACACACTCGATATTTTTTGTTTTTTTGATCAAAAGTTTGATATAAAAATATGATATAGTTCTCAGACAATGTAGTTACCAATTTCTTCTTTTCTCCTTCCTTTTTTGCTAAAATTTCTAATATCTAATATCTTTTAATATCTTCTATTATTTAAATCGTGTAATATTGATAATAAAAAATTGATTGATTACGAACCAACTTAATGTTGGTACAGTATTCTTAAAAGTTTATTATAGACTATCGTTATTGTGTTATTGTGTGAATATATTAATAGAAGTAAATTATAAATCAACGACAACCGTATAAAATATATCAGGATTTAGATGAAACATCATCATACCTATACATATATATATATATATATATATATATATATATATATATATACATACATACAAACATATATATTAATCTATATAAGATAATACTTACTACTATGACTTAATACTACTTTTTTTATAAGCAATCTAATTAACTCAAAGATTAATATACCTATATATAACGTGTATAAAAAATCTATTAGCATCGACATTATAATGTTATGTATTGCTTATGAGCAATGAGATCGAAGATCAGTCACTGTAAATCCTATTCGCATTTGCCCTCATTTATATCGTTTATGGAGGTTAAGCAAATCACTAAGTCCGCATCTTCCATCGATGGAAGATCAAAAGTAAGTGAATTCAATACAACCGCGAGAGTGGAAGTAGGTCCCTCGCGGTAAGTAACCGTTATTCAGTTTCTGCATTGTCAACAAACTATTTTCGTACATTTATCAGCGGATTACTGATCTCTCCTCCTTGGAAAATATCTTTACATTTACCTTTCTAGTTTTTAACCGTTACACTACTCATAATAAACTCATTTTCTTTAAATCATTTATGTTAATCCGAAAATTGCCGTTAAATTGGAATTGCCAACTAGTTCATAATTTTTTAAATCATTTTTTCAATCGTTTCTTACATTTTTAATACAATCCTTAATTTGTCAATGATATTTACTGAGTAAAAGACATCCGAGTAATGATGTATTTTATGAATGACAGCAATTGATGTAGAATTGTGAACTTGACTAACGTAATGTTAAGCGCAGATCGTGCAACAGGTGATGTAAAAGTAAAGAGGGGCGTGTGGCAAGCAAAGTAGGGGGTCCTCGAAGTGAATGCCTTTCTCATAATGCGTGGACCTTCTTAGTCTTCCTGGTCTCTTTCCAACCGATGGACGGATACCTCACGCGTACTACATTACTCACGATTGAAATAGCGAAAGGTGTGAAGATCAAGTCAAGAAATATTAGGATAATAGCTTAAACGGTGCTGATTTACAGACTAGTCACGCTTCGTTGATCCATCGAGAGAAGACAGTCGCGTGACGCTACTCGAGCAATGTAAGTAAACGGGGTTCGTTGAACGTTTGTGTTAAATACCGTCTATCTTCCCGAAGAATTAAAAAAACTATTTTGTTCGAATTAAAATAAAAATGATTTTTATGGCGAAAAGAGGACACGAGAATCGTGAAAATTTTTGTATAAAACTATAAATTTTTTCAAATTTCGGTCGAACATTGAATTCATAATGAATTAACGGTTTTAGAAAGCCATCAGACATATAGCAACGAATACGTCATAATAAATCTCTGAAGAGATTCACTCCGTAAAATAAAAATTCGGTATTTATTATTGATTGTTTATCACGGTCGCATTTATAAATAAATGGAACATACAGTTTTTGGAAATATTTCTAAAACATCTTTTTTATTTCTTGTTTATTTAATCACGTTGTTATTATTTATGTCATTATTTTTCTTTTCAACCTCGTATAAATAAATTTGATTTCAAATAGGTAAATAAAAACAAAAAGAAAAGAAAAAACAAAATCCATAATTGTATCCAGTTCTAGTATTTCAAAAAATAACTGAAATTTATATAATCTTGAAACAAAGTCCGACGACGAAAACTACGATGACGACATTTGAATCGACCATAGTTTCGTTTTTTATATGGTAGCATACTTTCTATTGAGCAAATCACAATCTCGTGAGTGACCTTGAAGTTGGTTCAGTCATACAAGACTGAACTTCCTCTCTTAATATTGGGACGACTCTCCTTCCTATAACACTCTCTCTTAATATTGGGACGACTTTCCTTCCCATTTCGATCATTCTAGTCATCAATATCGGTTGTTCGAACATTCTATTGTTCCGTGATGAAATAAAAGGCTAATATTAAATAAAAAATTTATCTTTTTTTTTGAAGCATAACATCTAATAACCTTTAGTGTATCATATAATAATTAAATCTAATGAATTATCTAGTTAATTAAAATTATTTGAAAGATATTCCAATTAACAGTTATACGATCTGAAAGAACAAATGTTATACATATATTAATATATATAATATAATGTATAATATAATATATGTATACTATTTATATATATTATAATATATGTATAATATAATATATGTATACTATTTATATATATTATAATATATGTATAATATAATACATGTTATACATATGTTAATTTAAGATATGTTAAGTCTTTTATCTCGAAGAAGATAAACATATTTGTAGCTTCATTCACAAAACAAATTTACAAAAGTTTGCACTGCAAAAAATACATTGGATGATCTTGACCTGTAGATGCGTAGGCACGTACACTTTGTCATTTATATGAATTAAGTAAAGCAGTCTCTTTCGCAATAACTAAGAAATAATTTCTGCGTGAATCCATGTTAAAAACTAATTTAAGTTAAATATTCGATTTATAAAACATGTAAATGAGAATACTATAACATACGGATGTTTCTGTCTTAAAATTCTTTTCATGACACGAGGAGTATCCGCAAATGCTTTATTGTTCCTCGATTATTCAGTATGAAATGGTGTAAGTGGCACAGTACAACAGAACAACACGAAGTTACGTACGATTGAGCTCCATTCTAATTAGCTCACGTAAAAGCTATTGAGAACCTTCAATGAAGACGGTTTTCCTTTCTATATATATGTATATACCATAATTATTGATTATCATATAAATTGTGTCGAAAAGAAAAATATAACGTCAAGAAATGAGGATCATTTAAATGTTAACGTTTGCATTTTGTTTTTAGAATCATGAAAGAGATAATTATTTTCGTTATCCTCGGAATTGGAATTGCTCAGACGCAGCTCAACTATGAGGGAAATCCATTAACAGAAAATACGGAATACACGGCCGAGGAGTCGCAAATTTCATCAAAGATCGTTAAATCATCAACAAATGGAACGCAAATGTTGTATCCGATCTTTCACGAGAGCAAGAATGTTGCTTTAAAAGATACGATGCTCAAAGAAGACGGGTCCGATCAACAAATTTTGGAAAATAACTTCAATCACGCTGGAATATCCGCGTCAATTAATGTTGCATCAGCTCGAGAACTTCCAGATAATGTTTACAGCAAAGTGCAGAAACCTCAGATACTTGAAACCATAACGAACACAGTCAAGACACCTGCGGAAATAGCATTGAATACATTTCTGAATTCCAAGACACCTGAAGAGTCTCAATTGTCCTTGGATTTTTTTCTGCAAAATAGTCAATCCCAAAATAATCAATGGCCAACGTCAAATATTATTGTTCCTCAAAATCAACAACAGCAGATGCAAATTGTATCGCAAAATGATCAATCAATACAACAACAATTGGTACGAACCACACCGAAAGTAATAAAACAAATTTCATCATATCCACAAATAAATCAACAACAACAACAATTGGTGGTAGCTCCTGTGCAGAAACAAGTGCTTTTACAGCCTCAACATGTGTTACAAATGCCTGGACAAGCTTATGGTTATGCAGCACAATATACAGCCAATTCTCAAATATTGCAACCTTCTCAGAATGCTCAAATGAGTCCAGTGATACCAAATCAAATGATATTGAAACAATCACCTTTTTCTTCGGATCCTTTTGAAGAAATTCAAGCAAGGAGCGATGTTATTACTCCCATGATGTGGCGTCAACGTAACAGATGGATTCGAGGTCAACCATATCCCTTTCCTCAGTCTAAAATCGGTGGTGTCTTATCAAAAAGTCCTGTCGTAGGTAAGATAAATCTAAAACTTTGATAAAAAAAAAAACAGTAGTAAGACAATAAATCAGATTATTCCATCTAAAAATGATCATGTTTCGGAATATTTTTTGTCCTTCTTCATTTTTTAACACTTCGTAGTACAATTCATTCTAATATTTATAGTACAAATATCAATATATTCATTCTAATAGTACCAATATATGTTAATTAAAGGTGCGTTAATTTTTTATATTGCAATGTCGTAAATTAATCAACAATTTATTATCATATCTGATTTTTCGTTATGCCCATTCGCTGCTAAGTATATTATTAGTCATAAAACTAATAAAATATATTATACATAAATAAAATTTTGTTATCGTCATATTGGCCAATAAAACACGTAGTAATATAAATTGTTTTTTTTTTTAATAAGATAAAGCTAATTAAAATATATTAAATCGATCAATCATCGACATACTAAAAGGGTAAAAAAAATTTCAAAACGTAGTCGTTTCGTATAAAATAATCGAAAATTTCAGCAATTTCATTCTTTCTTCCATAGCACCGTTCCCACGTAAAGGTCCGGTTGAATTAATCTACACGAAACCACCTGGATATCATCGTTTTCCACATCATGGGCTTTCTTACGAAGATTCTAAAGTTTGGTTCCCTGATACGAATGGTCCACCTCCATCCAGCGACGTATATTACTCCCAATTATACGCTCAATCTTACGATCCCCATTACTACAATTACATTACTAAGACTGGCAAGATTAAGCCCCATCTTTATGGCAAATTGGGCAAGTACCCTGAACACGAAGACGGAGGAATTTGGGCGGAGCTCTATCGAGGTTTCACGAAACATGGTTTAAAAAATATCATGACACCAGGATTCCTCTTGGGTATGACACTGCCAATGATCACTGTGATGCTTATGGCACTTGTACAAAAGCGATCATTTGGGCGATACGATTCGAGAAATCTTCAGGATGTAGATAATCTTCAAGAATACCTTGAACGTCTACAACGAGCCATGGAATGCTATGAAAGAAAGAGAAGGAAAACTGAAGAAGTTACAACAGATGAGTGTTGAAACGCTACTACTCGAGTAAATAGCCGTTCATTGACCGAGACCCAGTGACAGTCCGTTTCATAAACTTTTTCCTCTTCCTTTTCTTCTTTTCATACTGCCCAAAATCAACATTCGATTTATTTTCGTTTCGCGTCGGGATATTACATAAAACAATTTATGTTTTACTATATACGAACTCGTATCAGGGATAATTATAAGTTGATAGAGTAGTATTTCAGTATAAGTCGATGAAACAATCAGATCGGAAAATTACGATGCAATATTTGATTTTTCTTTGGAAAAAATCTTATTCTAGATCTATGTGATAAATATGGACAATGTATATATGTACTTTAATGTATTTAATTACTAATTACTTATAATCAGATTTGCTTACCAGTTTATAGAATAGAATAATTTTTGGAGAATAAATTTTTATTAGATTTTGATAAGACGGTGCTTCAATTAATCCTATCTTTAACTTTCTTATCTTTTTCGATTAATCTTGCTTTTCTTTTGATCTTACGAGCTATCGCCCAATTTACGCTACTACTAATACTCGGCCTGATGTAATTGACCTTGTTCTTACAGTCGGACCAATCTTGAATACTTTCACGAATGTATATGCACGATTAAAATTGTAACGCAGCAATATTTCAAAGAACTTTTCTTGAAAAGTAAAATAAAAATTAAAAACGATAGTAGATCAAATTTATATAAACTGTCGGATGATAAGCTATTTTAATACTTTTTGTTCTTCAACAGGCGAATACACAAATGATCTTAACTAAATATATCCAATATAATCGATCTATCTATTAATCGAACTATCTGTCAACTCTTGTTTCATAATCTGTGCTATTTATATACATATACATACATATGTGTACATGTAAATAAATCAAACTATTTCATGGTATAAAAATTTAGAGTAATATTCAAAGTCTATTTAAGATAAATATTATATATAAATGTAGGTTAAATACTATATCTACCAAGGCAAGTTTATGTCCGATTAATAATTTCAAAAAAGTAATAACATATTCTTCCACATAAAAATAAATTTATCGAGATCATCGTTATAGATAACGCGGTACTTGCATATGCGTCAGTAGTTATAATTTAATTTCATCCTCATATACAAGTGGTACCAGCTTGAATAATCTCTCCGCATATCTACCATAATAGAATTATTTAATCGAACAATTGACGGCTCGACTTTACAGGTCATGAGATCCAGGCATCGTATATTGTGCCAGACAAACCAGAATGATTATTAATTTCGAGCTATTCTTTATTTGAGCATCGTAAAGAAAATAATACATCGATAACGATAATAAGATAATAATAAAAGCTGAATGAATAACTATTAATCGATAATTGTCTTCATCCTGAAAAATTAAATGTTATTCTTACATACGTAATAGATAGAAGAAAAATCTTTTATATACCACTATTCGCGAAGATTTTCATAAATACTATCCGATATTGTATAATTGTATAGTATAGCTTTAACATCTAAAACATCTAAACAAATAATAGATTTTTTATTTTCTTGAACGATTATTTATATTGTCTGAAAATTAAAATATATATATGCAAGTATAATATATCTTGACCAGCTATATGAATTGTTACTGTTATTAATTTTATATATGTGATCTATATTAAAGGATATAAAATAAATATAATAATAAAATATTTTTATATGCATAAGATTCTTTTATTAATTAATCAAGTAAACAATTACATATATTATTATTTTATATATATATATATATATATATATATATATATATATTACATATATACGTATAATTATATATAGGGTATCCCAAATTTAAGCGATCAAACTTCACCAGTGTATTTTATAAATACTATAGAAATAAGAACAAAATATTATATAAACATTGATGAATTATAAATTAAAATTTTCTAAAAAATGTTAATCATCAGTTTTACATGGTTTCAATTGAATTTTTATGCAAAGGAATAAAAAATCTTGAATTATATCAGTAAAACACAATAGCCTAAATATACGTGAAATTTGTATAGGAGTTAAATTTTTTCAGTTTTCTTTCATTCATATTTACACATGTGAAATATTGTTACATGAATCTAAAAATATTCAACAAAAAAGTATTTCTTTTATATCTTTGTACAAGAGTGAAATTTTTTCTGTTTTCGTTCCTTGTTCTAGAAAATGATAATTAAAAATATTTGAAATGTTATTTAAATGTAAGAAAATATATGCCTTTCGACACACTTTAATATTAAGATAAAGGACTAAAATTTGAACGTGATTTATTTTCTTATTTATTTCGAGATGAATTAAAGGTATTCATTAAATGCAAAATAATGACTAATCTAATACACACACACACATATACATATAATTTGTATAATAATTGAGTTGACTAGATTATGGTTCTAATTAATTGCAAGGTATGAATCTATTTTTCAATTACGTAAACCATATATACATACATCTCCTTTCTCTTATAGATATGTATGTTTTATTTTTGTAATATAACAGACTATTTCGAAAATTTCTTTTTTTTCTGAAAATTTTTTATATTATGTACCTACCACAGAAAAAGTTATATTTTTGTAGTAGAACTTTTTTAATTGCGTTCGAAGTGATTTTTTAACATCGAGACGAAAAAGGAAATGTCATGAGAAATATAATTATTTGTAGAGAAGATATAGAAAGAAAGAGAGAGAGAGAGAGAGAGAGAGAGAGAAATCATAGTTCATGCCAAGACAACAGAAAGGAGCATTAGAAAAAAGGTGAGAAAAATAAATATGTAGCGAATGGTTTGCCGACTTTTCTCTTATTTATTATTTAAAGTGAAATTTTCTAGTAATTATTTCCAAAGTATCATCATCATATTTTAATTTATTCTAGCAAATATTTGTGTAAGTACCATTACTTTTAATGTAAGTATCAGTAGTGTATCAATACTATTTTAATTTAAACAATTAATTCTGTATCTTTGAATAGGTCATACATATAATATTTTATAAATAAAAAAAAAAAAATATAATTAGACAGAGAGTGAGAGAGAGAGAGAGAGAGAAAGAGAGAGACCAAAGGGTTATCTAGCGGCATATTGTACATCACGGTACAGACGATATCATTCTCTTTGTTTGGCAAAGGACTTTAGGATGCTAAATTTACTTGCTATTCGCTGGTTAAAGCAATCAGAAATTCATTAATTTAATATATTCGTAAAAATTTAAGACAATTTTTCTATTCTATTATTGAAAAGTATATTATAGTTTCTAAAATTTCTTTAGCCGCGATAACCTGTTTGCTAGAGCGGGACAAAAAAGTTTCCGGACCAAGAAATGGATAGTGGAGAGAAGGAGAAACATTCCTACTCTTTCTATTTCGCACGTTACATGCTTCTGCAATAGCTTTTAGCCATATACATACTAAAAATTTCAATTCATTTAAAAAAATCGATGCTCTTAAAAAATCGAAATCGACGAAACGATTTTGTAATAATCAATCTAAAAATCGTAAATATATATAATTTTTTATGAATTTTAGATTGATTTTTTGATTTCAATTTTTAAAATATATTTATTATGGAGATGTGTGTGTGTGTGTGTGTGTGTGTGTGTGTGCGTGTGTGTGTGTGTGCGCGCGCGCGTGCGTGTTTGTATATTTTGTCTTCTTAAACCAAAGTCATAGATATGTAATTTTATAAATTTTAAACTCTATTCTCTTAAATTTTATAAATATTAAACTCTATAATGCTAAAAAAGCTTAGAGTACTATCATTATTGCATTATTATATGTAGATTCAATTACTTTTAATATAGTTACAAACACTGAAAAATATTCATATTAAATTTTTGCAAACTAGAAATTTGCACATCTGTAAGTTTAAGATAAGGATGATGTTATACATACACACACATATACGTATGATTAAATCAAAAGCCGTAAAATTTTTAAAAATTTTATAATTGTAATAAAAAAATATTTATTTCATATCATATAAATAAATAATAACTTTTATTTTGAGATAAAAAAATATTTAATTATTTATTTTAATTCCAATTGCCATTACAATGAGTTTGAAAATAATAAATGCTATGTGTTAAATAAATTATTAGAAAGAACGTACACTTCAGCTATTAATTATTGTTTAAAAATTATCAGATTATTTAATTGATCTTTCTGTTAATTGCAAATTAATTTTCTAACAGAAAAACTATCAAATAGCATCATTTCTTCGACATACAATCAAGTAGTTACGGTAACAAAATTTAAATTAAAGAAAGAAAAATCGATTCTCTATTCTTAGGATAAAAAATGGAATAGTAAATATTCGATTCAAAAAAGCGATCTTATAACCACAAGAATCGAATTGAACGTTCCTGAAGGTTATCACACACAAAATTCCATAAAGACGTAAGACATAAATGTAAAAAAAACCAATCGAGTATTGAGTTCATCGTAATTTTCACATTAGTCCATAAAACTTAAAACGTAAAATCGAAAAATTCTGTAAGGATGAAATTTTTACGATTTACGTCTTCTAGACAACCAATCACAAGTCATAAGAGCTAAGCGTTTTACTTTGAAATTTAATATCAAAGTAATTTAGAAAGCTAAGAGAGCTAGAAAGCTAATGAGTATTATATGTTAATGAGTGTTATATGTTAAGATATATTATATTTTATTTAATATTAAAATATATTATATGTTATAAAATTATATAATATATATAATATATATATATATATATATAATATATATATTATATATATAGATATATTATATGTTCACGGTATTTGTTTTAGAAATATGAGTAAATATAATGTAATATGTTCAATAACTTTGAAAATGAACTTTAATTAAGAAAAAAGACCTTAATTTAATATAATACATTTTGCGGCATGAAATACTTACTTTTATTAATATTTAGAAAATGTGTGTGGCCACCCTGGTATGTAGCATAGGCAGATTACTTTTAATTAAACATATTGACAAATGTTTGTTGAAAATTATGAAATTTTCTGAATTTTACTATAATGTGAATTTTAATATAACAAAACAAAGAGCAACCAATGTATTAATGTCTTTTGATAACGATAAAGGTTAATAAACCATCGAAAAAACTTTCAAAAAGTAAATTGAAAAGAAAAAGACATTGGAAGCATGCGTTGAGCAATATAACCTTTCAATTATATCAAATATTTGTAGATCAAGTACATATAATCTAGTTGTATTATTCACTAGCATGGATGATTCACAAGATTCGGAGGTATAAGTAAGGATTTATTTACTGGCTTGAATCAACCAAATAAATATAATTTTTTTATAAAGATGGGTAAATCGTGCTATCTGTCTTATAGAAAAGCATCAAAAACTGAAAATATTTCATTACACAGGTAAGAGAGTGCATAAGAAATATTTATATTATTTTATAAATTTCTTATACTAAATAACCGAAAATAATGTACAATCAATTTTGATTTTCCAAAAGATTTGACTGTATATCAAAAGTGGTTAAATGTTCATGGATTGACCTTAAACGATGATGTATCATCTATTTATATCTATTCTATCCACTTTATTGAAATGGATATTAATAGATATAATACTTTTGGAAGAAATTAATCTGTAATTAAACCTGAAGTAGTTCCTTCAATGTTTATGGCAAATTATCTTATCATAAAAGAAGAAGTTGATGATTTGTCATCAGAAACACTTGCAAATGTGATTATAAATGATAATTTTGGTGAATATGAATATATTTTGTTGAATAATGAAAATAAAGTTGAAGGTAAATCTAAAAGTATTTAACGTTCAGAATGTTTTGATATGTTTTCATTTTTGAGTGCAATTTATAATTTTATTTATATGCTAGTCTTATGTATGTCTATAAAAATTATATATTCCAATTTTATATTTAACCATTTAAACATAACATCTTGCGAAAAGTAATTTTTTCTGTCTCATTTCATTGGTAACCCTTTTACTTATAAGAATTGACAATATAGTCTTATTATATAAATAGTTATTTGTAATTATTATTTATTAACCAATTATATATATATATATATATATATATTTATTTATTTATTTATACATATATGTGCATGCTAACTTGATATAGTAAATAAATAAAAGCTGATATATAATAAAATTTTACAGATTTCACAATGTTGAAATTTTCTGCAGAGAAAATCCAAGAGTATAGAGTACAAAAGAATGCGATGGAAACTAAAAATTCTTCTAAAAATTGAAAGTAGCAGTAAAAAGATTTTGAAAGCTGCTATCATTCAACAAAATGGTTCAACGTATAAATCTCCAACTAGTGTTTTATTGACTTGAGATGTGTGTGTAGTAAATTGTAAATTATTATTTTAACCCGACAAAATTTGGAATTGTTCAGAATTATCAAGATTTATATATAATAATTCGAGTGTTCATTAAGTCGACATGTGTGAACATAATTCATCTCTATCTTATAGTCATGAACATTGTCATAGTAATGCTCATAAAGAGTTTATTTTCATAAACTCCTGTGGCTTTCACAGAGAATAAAGGTAGAGGAAGAAAGGTATAATAAATAGAAGTACAATTTACTAAAATACATTCTAATTTGTTCCATAAAAGTCACAGGTTCTATTGAGAGAAATTTTTATAAATCGAGAGATCTAGCTTAAAAAAAAAGAAAACTTTTTATTGAATCGTAATGTTCTATGCATTCGTTAACTTTTCACACGTATTCGCTAGTGAGATATTTCATTAAAATTCATGGTTTATTATTATGCACATTGGACTTCTTAAAAAAACTTTTTATGTGTATTAATCATAATAGCAAGATAAAAAAAAAACGAATTATTAACTTTAACACATATTATTGATTCTACTAAAATAATTTTAATTTTTTGAAACATAATTTAATATTATATATGAATTTATATATTCTGTTATTTAAGTATAATGTACGATTTATATTTGATATAACTTGCTATTTTTATATTAAATCCAGGAATTATAAAACAAATGATGATGTGTTTATAATAAATTATAAAATAAGAAAGAACAAATTTGCCTCTTTTTCTCTCAATTTTTCTAATAGCAACAACAATACAGTTATATGCAACAATGTATAACAGTTTTTCAATCGTTTGATAATAATGTAACGTATATTAAAATCTGTATTTCATAGAAATTATGAATACTAGAATGCCCATTATTTTACAATAATGTTAAAAACAACATAAAAGCTGTTCAGTAAGACTAGATTGGTTTAATGCATGATGCTATTTTAGCAATATATACTACAGTTTATATGATTGTGAAGTCCAACTTCTTCTTTTTACCTATTAATGATGCACTACATATAGCTACATAACTTGCATAATTTCATATCGATAAAGCTTGTACTCAATGATACCTGAATTAATTTTATACATAATTATAACAACTCTGATTATTGAAAGATTGATGAGCATTTGGCATATAATGAGCGTAAATTAAATCTATAATTAGAAAACTGCAATTCAGTAACTGTAACTTAATTGAGTGTGCGCAAAACATATTTTTGTACAGATCATATATTCTTAGACTTATATGCTAGTCATGAAGTGCTTTCCTACTATACTTATGAATTATATAAATCAATAGAATTTGCAATTCTTTATCTAGGAAATGTAGTGGTTCTAATGTTTATTTATTTAGTACCTTTGTATATACTTTATGAAGTGGAATTATAGATCTTGTGATATAATGAATATCTTAAATATATTGATAATAATTTCACTCAATTAAAATAATCATTATCTTTTTTCTTTTTGCATGATTAGAATAAAAAGGGTACAATAGTTAAAAAATATTAAAATATACTTAAGAAATCATAGTAATTATTGAGTTTATGTACCCTTAGCCTTTTTCTCTTATCAAATTTATATTGCTTTGGAACATTGCCTTTGAAAAAGGCTTATATTATCTAATTATTAACTAATGCATCAATTATATCATCAATACATTAGCTTTTGTATCAATTTAATATCACCAAATCTTTAATTGGAAGATTAGAGATAATGGAACAAATTACTTCAATCAAATTTTTCCTCTTTAAATACAAGATCAATTGCATCACCAACGTGATCAACAATGAAAGCTGGTTTACATAAGCCATCCTCTACAGGTAAAAAATCTCTAGGACTATGTTCGGTTATAAATTGTGAATTTCGTTGATGTACACCAGTTTCAACTAAAATGCTGATACATGCTTTTGCACTAGGTCCTTTCATGTTTTTCCCTAACAATTTTTCTAAGCTACGAGATTTAGTACCTTCACCAGCTTCATAATGAGATAAATACTTATCATAAAGATTTGCACCAAAAATATCTGTATTAATGTTATCTCTGAAATAGAATTTAAATATGAATAATTTGTTAACATATTGCATCATAAATATAAAATAATTTATAAATCTTACCCAATGGCATAAATAGTATCAACATTATGTTCTATTCCAATGGTTTTAGCATGTTCTATCAACATATGGCTTGCGTGATAATATGTAATTTCATTAGGTTTTCCAACTAGAGCAGTATACAATAAGTCTTTTCCTGTTACTTTTTTGTACAATTGTTCGAGACACAATAGAAAGGCACCATGGCCGTACCTAGGAATTGGTGCTTCTGATACCCATAATAAATCCATATTACATGCCAAAACTGGAATGTGTGGATATGGAATCTCACTGGGCAATTTACTTGGCATTCCATTGGTCATTAAAAGATCCACTATTAATTGCAATGGAGTTTCCCAAGATACCGGTTCACTGAATAACAGGATACCTTCTATTCTTGGAAAATTTGGATCTACTGGTCCGCACTGTGGATTTCTCTTTAACATATTGACATAATCCAAACTTGGAAAGTTTTTCACGAGTTCTTCGATTGTCATAGTTCTCTTAAAACCCAACTCTTTGGCTATTTCTCTGACTGGACCTTGTCCTGATATAAGAACTTGCTTATCATGAAGGTCATGAAGCATTTGCAATGGAGAATGAGCTAAGATAACTTGTGACTCTGATATTTCAAATCCAATCCATTTGGATAAATCAGCTGCTTTTTGACTACGTAAAGCATTTCCACTGTTTGTAACAAAGACAGTAGGAACACGAAATTTGCCATCCTCTCCTCTAAGTTTTTTAAAGGATTCTGCAACTGGTGGTAAAACATTTTTACCACGCACTATAACTCCATCAATGTCAAATAATAAACCAAATTTTGGTTTAGAGCTTAAGTTCTGAAAATAAAATAAATAGATAAATAGATAAATTTTACATAAGTTAAGATTATTTATTCAGATTGTATTGTATTTATATCATACTTTATGTTAGAATAAGACTTTGAAATACATTTCAATGCCACTAGGCAATTATAAAAATATACTTACCTTGTTGGTAGAGATATTAGGTAAGTATATTTTTATACCAAATGGCGAAATACATACAGTGTGTGTATATATATATACGCACACACATATACGGTATGGTCAAAGTCCAAATACCCATGCACATTTTTACAAATAGAAAAAATAATAAATTTTAAAACCTTAAAGAACTAAATAGGTCATTGTGTCAGTAATTCTACTTGTATTTTATCATCTTTACTTTATTATACATTTTATTATGTTACAATATTGTTACAAAACAATGCTGTATATACTAAAATACAATAATAGAGAAACAAAAGTAGATAATTAAAAAGGTAAAAGACATTCAAATATAAAATAGAAAAGAAATATAATATAATGATACATAAATAAAGATAAGAAGTGAACAAAAACAAATACAGAATAATACAAATAAAATTACTCGAAATGATTGAAGTTGATTTCAAATAACGATATGATTCTTGTTATCATTGATTGGATATATTGTTGGGAAATGCCAAAAAATTAAAAATAAAAACAAGCGAATGTGTGCATTATGCGAATTCAAGGGTAAGGCAGGAGACGAAACAAATTGAATGATGACAACGTAAACTTACTCTGACTCCGAAAGCTCTCGCGATACCCGATCGTAATAATATTTTCATTATTACTAATTCAACCACAACAATTAAGAAATAAAAAACGAGGGTTTATGAGTATCTAAAAAGTTATCTTTTGTTTATAAGTTTAACTCTCAATTACTATGTTGCGCGGGTGTATTATTCATAGTGCCAAAACTTTGAGGTTATAGCCGATCTAGAAAATCAACCAAACTCACACTACGTTGTGATCATAGTTTTCATGAGTACCGTAAGAGTGTGTTTTCTCAATATATATGCAGGAAGCATATTCGAATATAGCACAGATCGTATGCAATATTTTTAAAAAGTTCAAAAGAAAACATATTCTATTCAGGAAATATTACAAAAAATAAACATAGTAATACAAATGAAATTTGAAAATATGTATGATATAGAAAATAAATCAATTCAGTAATAATAACATAAAAATATTGAAGTTCATATCAAATTCTATTATATCTAATAAACATCTTATAAAGAAATAAGATTGATTTTTCCACAATTATGGAATCTCTTTTTTAAAAGTTTCGTGAGTTGTTTTACTCGTACATATTCATATGTTACATAAAGTTAAATAAGAAACAAAGTTTGTTATTATGAAATATATATGTATATACATGACAATAGATTTAGGAAAATGAAAATAATTGATATCTTAATAACGGTTGTATGAATTTTCTTCTGCAACCCTATGTTATTCTTTATTTATGTTTGTAAATTTAAAAAATCGGGATCTCAATAATTGTTACATTGATTTTTATGGTTCTTATGAGAAAATAAAATACAAATGCCTCTCATATTCATATCTTGCAACTTTATTTTAAAGGTTTTATTTTTGCCACATTTTTTTATCATTTTGAATTTCATCGTCTATATTATAATCGAAAAATATATAATTTCTAAAATATTCAATATATATAATATATTTTTTAGTTGCTAAAATACAAATAATATATATAGTAGGATTGATAAGTGTATTTGATTTTCTTGCAAGGATTGAGGTTACTATTTCCGACTTTAAAGAAAAGTAAAATGTATATTTTTTATAGATAAATATATATAAATATATATTGTTATATATTTAAATATATATTATTTTCACATATCTATAAATATATATTGTATATATTATTATATATATATTATATATTTACTTTTTAATTTTAGACGATAATACATAGATGTCACTCTGATATGCTATAAGAGCATATGTTATGTGCTGCTCCCGTTATAAATTCTTTGTTATACATTCTTTATTATGGAAAGTGATAAGCATGATTGTGTCGCGCAACTAGTGAAAAGTAATAATGATTCTATTTTGATTAATAAATACTGTCATTGATTTTGGAAATAGTAGAATGTGATAAAATGGGATGACTAGAACAAGGTTGGTAGAGTAATATAAAACGAAAGAAAATATGTTTAAAATATGCACAGTATTAATGCCATCAAAATAAATTTTTGATTTAATTTGTAAGAGAATTAATGAAGTAATATTACAAGTGTGTATAAGGAATAAGTTAAATTGTCACAAAGATTTAAATTTTCTTCCGATGAAAGAATAAATAAATCATTTATTTTGCACTTCTAGTAAAAAAGTATTATATTATTCAATTTTTCTTTTTACGATACGTTAATTTATCCAAAGTTTTCTATTTTCTTCTGTCTTATTTTATTTTTAATCAGAATAAATTTCATACATCCATGTCAACTGAAAATTTCTTTAGTTAATGAGTTAATCAAAATACATTTAAGAATTATTTCTCTTTAGTGAACCCTTTATATAGATAGCCAATTAATCTACATGTTTATGAATACTTTATTTTTTACAGAAAGGCAAAAGAACAACTTATTAATTGATTAACATCATTTACAAATCTAAAATAGCTTGAAATGTATCGTCATTTGTAATATATAACATTTTTTTGAAAAAATATATTATATTTATATTAATTCCAAATTGAACTGCATTGATTAATCCAATCCATTTTTTAATCGTTGTACATATCTCCTATATTGTATCTGCAAGAATCATTAATTAGGAAGTTATATAAATAAATTGTTTATATAGATAGATTTATTAAAATTAGGTAAGTGTAGAATTACAAGATGATCGTAATTTTTCCTTGAAACTGACCTTTTTAATTGTTAACCGAAGACAGACTTTTCCTACTTAGTTTCACTCATCACTCGTTCGGGATTTTTGCAAGATATTCCAGAATATTGAAATTATATGCTTACTCAATGACATGTGTCGTCAAAGTCACTTTTAAAGTGCTATTTGTCAGAAATGCTGTGCTTTGTACATAACACGATACTATTATATTTGATACCTTTTCATAGTCCATTCAATAATAATAATTGATTAATTTTGTGGCATGACATTTATATATATATATATACACACGCACAATATATATATATATATATATATATATATTCACAAATATAGTACTTTATTACATTATTACTAAAAAATTGATATTATTCGAAATACATAATGGAAAATAAAACATAATTAAGTAATTGATTTATAAGTACAATATGGTTTATGTATTATTATTATCGTTATTTATACATTTTACATTATATTAATAAGATAACACATTATATAAAACATATGTCGAGTTTTAAAGCAATTAAATTATCTATATCTATACATCTATAATGTATAATGTATTATTATACGTTATCTTCAACTGGTAGACATAATAGTTCTAGTACAACCACACGAAAAATTTAAGGAGACTTATTTTATTTCAAAATATTATTAGTAAGTTTTTGATATAATATTCATGAATATTATTGTTTATATCATATTTGAAGTTTCTTTCATTTATCTCATTGAATATAATTTGACAGAATACAATTTTGTATTATGGATCAACATCAAAGACTAATTATATGTATTGTTGAAATTTTTCATGATGTTATGATACAAAAATGTAATACTATTTATCGTCATAGTATAAAGTTAAATATTAATTTGATTTTATTTTATAAATTATATAAATTTAATTATTATTTAAAATTAAATATAAAATTATAATTGGCTATTTAATGCCAATACTGACAGTCTATTGCTTATATTACATGCAAAATATTTATATTGATAAAATATTTTCATTTATATTGTTATTTATTTCTTTTCTTTTTTTATAATTTATGTTATGCTTAATGTATTAAATTTTTTTTTTTCTTTTGGGACTATGTATTTCTTTATTTTAGTTAAACCATTTAGAATAAGGAATTTGCAATTAATTTCTTTTACAAAATTTGTCAAAGTGCCTTTGATAAGAAAATATATAATTTTTACATAATGAAGTTTTATATTTTTTGACCATGTTCTTAGATTATCTGAGGAAACTATAAGAGAATAGAAAAAGTTAAGAATAACTTTAATGCTGCTCTGCACTTTATTTTAAACTTATATAATTATTACATTTCTTAAGATCGTTGTCTTATGTATACGATAATTAATATATATATAATAGCGTTTGAATACATAACATTATGCAATATTTTTAATTTGTAGATTATCAGTCAAAGAATTGTTGCGTTTGTTTTTACATGATGCCATTACTTACAAGTACGATACATACAAGAAGGTAAACATAATGTAATTTCTTATGCTTCTATTTTTTATTATTTAAATGTTATAGTTATAATTTATTAATTATATATTAAGAATATATGTGTGTGTGCGTCGCGCATGTGTGTGTACATATAGAATATTTTATAAAAAGAGAAAAAACGAGATTTTTTTAGATAATCTCCATGAAGAAATACATAAGTATTAAAAGTATTCGTAATTCTAATACTATATTATAGTAAATCTAATTAACCGTTACTATTTTGTTTTATATATATTCAATATTTGATGAATTATAATGATGATATTATAGCTTCTAATTCTATTCTTTAAAACGTATGTACAACAACTTAATATTCTCATTTTTTTAATATATGTAAAAAAAATTAATTACAATTAAAAATATATATCAACTGATATGTACATCTTGATTGCCATTATTATTATTATCCATAGCAGAAAATGTTCAAATAAAAATTGAATGACTCTGATGGTATTAGTTTTTTTGTAGGTGGATGCATAAAGGTCAACTTTGTTTTTGAAAATAGGATCATATATTTTTTAATATATTAGTTGATGCAGCTCGACATTTTTTATAAAAAAGTATTAAATATTAAAAAATAAGTATATATGTCGAAAAATCCTTAGTTTAAGAAATATTTTAATTTAAATATTGCTAAAAAACTGTCGCTCTCTTATTAGTATTCTTTCTACATTTTAGTAATTACTGAACATTTGTATACAGGGTTTCTTAGCAATATTGAAATTAAAAAATCTCCTAAGCTAATGATTTTTCGGTATAAATAGATTAATATTTTTTTATAGTGAATACCGAGATAGATCGACTAATGCATTACAAATTGTATGATCTCTGCTATGTCTTACGATCGTAACAAATATTCCTCGAAGAGAATTGGAGATTTTTCGAAATTAAACTTATAATTTGATATAGAGAGATAAATATTTGGTCGTTCGGAAAGTCATTTCGTTTTCTTTTTTTGTGAAAATGAAAAACAATTTTCGTATAATGAACAAATATTTTATTAAATTATATATTAGCCATTCTGGCCCAATACCTTTTGCCATCTTTCTGGTAGTAGCATGATTCCACACTCATAAAATTTTTGGTCTTTGCTGGCAAAAAACTGATCGAGGTGGTTTTCGACCTCCTCATTTGAAGTGAAGGTTTTACCATCTAAAAAATTTTGTAGTGACCGGAACAAATAATAATCCGAAGATACCAGATCTGGAAAATATGGTGGGTGTGGCATTGTATCCCATTCAAGCTGTAAAAGCTTTTGGCGAGTGACCAAACTTGTATAAGGTCTCGCATTATCTTGGAGAAACACTACAAACAACTTTTCTGTTGATTAATTCTGGCCTTTTCTGTTGAAGTGCATCATTCAGTTTGTCCAGCTGATGACAGTAGACTTTCGAATTAATTGTTGTGTTATCCGGTAAAATCCCAAAAAAACGATTCCTTTAAAATCCCACCAAATAGACAGCATCATCTTTCTTTGATGGATATTGGCTTTGGAAATGCTTTGAGCTGGTTCATCTTTTTTGCTCCATAATCTTTTGCGTTTGACATTGTTATATACGATCCATTTTTCGTCCTCAGTAATGATGCGCTTCAAAAAT